TTGATGTAATCCTTGACAAGTATGAAATGGCTTGGAACGATATGATCAATTGCATATGCTCAAAAAGGGCAAGCATTTTGTGCAAAGCAAGTGTTTGATTCCACGCCCGCAAAGAAACAAAACATCGTGACTTAGAACTCAATGCTCTCGCTGTTTAATCTCTGAGCTCTAGAGCTGCTGAAAACCATGCAGCTCGAAAGGATCAAACCAAACGAGATAACTTTCATCACAGCACTGGGTGCCTGTGCTGACGCCGGCAAGCTTGAAACTGGACAAGCGTTCCACGCCAAGATCATCGATCAAGGACCAATGCATCCAGGTCTTGCTGGTGAATATGTATGGGAAATGCCGTAGACTGTCACAGTCTTCAACCAAACCCAAGCGAGCCTCCGCAACACTATTTTCTGGATTGTGATGATCATGGCTTTTGAAGACAACCACCAGTTTCTGGTCGTGCGCTTCATAGGCTGATATCAGAGCACCCCAAAAAATTTCTCTCCTGTCAAGCAACTCTATTTCGCAATCAAAGTCCCCTTTCTGGGTACCATCACAGTCCATGCCACTACATTCTTCTCGGGCATTTGATCAAACAGTTCCTGGGTTTGATCCAAGTTCCCATCAGCTGCATAGTGTCGCATCATCACGACCCCGGAGCAGCCCAGTGAAGAAAGAAACCTCTCGAAAGGACCTTTTGTGAAACTTCTATATAAGAGTTCCAAGAATTAGGGTTTGATAGGATTCTTATGGGTCATACCAAAGAATTAGTTGTAGAACTCCCAAGGGTAATGAACGTGGAGAAGATTTTATTCTCTTCCAACACCAACAATCTAGAGTGTGAAGTATTTGGGAAAGAGGATCAAGGCAGAGAGTGGAAGTTTTTGGGTAAAACAGGTCGAGAAGCAAGATTCAAGCTCACCAAGCTGAGATTCATCCTTGTCAAGCCTCTCTCTGGATTTGAGGTATCTACGATTGTGAGTTTTTATAGCAAGGACAATGCCCAGAAGCCTGTGGAGGAGTTGGAGTTGAAATACATTAACCCTCAAAAGGTGGACTATCAAAATCCTTTTGAAGTTGGCCAGCTTTCTGAAGCTCGAAAGGAAAACCCCAAGCCCCAACACTACTAGTCTAGAACCCAAGGATCTTTCCACTTGGAAAGTAGCACACACTGCTTTGCCAAAAGGTAGGATGGTTTGCATTGAATGGATGTGAGTATATAAACACAAGGAAGGGTTGCGACCCTTGAGTCGAGGATCAGTGATGTGTCCAAAGGAGGCATCCCTTGGAACCTTGTGTCAACAAAGTAAGGGATGTGACTTATGGATCACTGAGGTGGCGGAGACTCAGTGACCCTTGGTGGAGATTGATGAAGTGTCGAAGGGGTGCCACCTAAGGATGGTCTAAACCCAAGGTTTAGCCCTAACCCAAGGATTAGTACTAACCTTAAGCCCAAACTCACCACTTAGGCTCAACCTTAGCCCAAGCTAAGTATTTAGGCCATTTTTGGGGTGCGACATCACCCCCCCTCCAATAGTGCTACGTCCCGGAGCACTCTCCTCCTCACTCCCTTGAGATGGATAAAATGTCTCCGGCGGGTAGTACTTCCGTAGGCGAGACCCGTTCACGCGAGTAGAAAGAGAAGTTCCTTCCATATCCTTGAGTTGCACAGAGCCGTTTGGAAACACAGCTTCCACTCGATATGGTCCAATCCAGCGAACTCGAAGTTTGCCAGGTCGCTTCCAATACTTACTCTCGTAGAGAAGTACTAGGTCACCCTCGTTGAAGAGCTTGAGACGAAGGAATCGGTCATACCATGCCTTCCTTCTTTTCTGGATAGCTTCCCGAGTTTGGAAAGCAAGTTGACGTCGCTCGTCCAACTTATCAAGCTGCTCCAACCTAGCTTGAAGAGCTCCATCCCAATCCATTGCGTGTTCCACCGCCATCCGCATGGAAGGAATCTCAAGCTCCAATGGCAACACCGCTTCTTGTCCGTAGACCAATTGAAAAGGTGAAGCATGAGTAGTTACCTTATAGGCAACACGATAAGCCCAAAGAGTGTCGAGCAACCGCTTATCCCAATCGCTTATCCGTTGTTGCTGCTGAGGCATTCCTCCTGGTGTAGCATGGATGTAAGCTGCTTGAACCTGATTCCCCGGCTTATAGTGGCAATCTTCTGATCTATGATTCGCTCGCTTGCAATGCTTGCAACGAGGTATAGCATCTTGCGGGCATTCGTTGGGATAATGCCCGTAACTTCGGCAACGAACACACCAAATGTTGTCCCTGGTCTTCTGCTGTCGTCCGGGGCTTTGGACTCCCTTAATCCAATTGAGCTGGAGGTCCGACATCTTCTGAGTAAGGGTTTCCACCAAACTTTCTTGTGCTTTCTTCACTTCGGCTTGTACTTTAGCTTTCACATCCGGAACCGGTGATTGTTGATAAATGCCATAAGGCATTTGCTGCTGCATCATGGGAGAAGGAACTTGACCAGGTACCGTTGAGTATGCCATCTTTGTATAGTCCATAGTTCCCATTCCCGCAGGTGCAACTCCTCCGTGGAGTCCACTTGTTGAATACATGGCTGGATTCGTCGTAGCCATGTTGGCCATAGGATTGGCCGATGAACTCCCCGAGCTCATCATTTGACGATTCACTCCAAGATGGGCTTGTTCCCAATTCCCAGCAAAAGCTATTGCGGTATTCAAGTCCGCTGGGCTTTGGCACTTCACGTGAATCTTCAAAGGGAGGGGAAGACCTCCCACAAAGTATCTCACTTGCTCTTCTGCCGTAGGTTGTGGAGTTCTCTTGAGCAAGAGACCTTTGAATCGCAAGGTATAACTTTGTAAGCTCTCTCCGGGCAACATTTGGAAATCATAGAGGCTATCCATGATCCATTGATTGAATCCAACAGGTCGAAACGCTGTTAGGAACGCTGCTCGCAACGCTACCCAATCAGCTCCTGCCGGAATAGTGGTCATCCACTCCGCCGCCACTCCAAGAAGGGTAGCAGGAAATAGCTTCCTCCTTTCCACGGCTCCAGCTTCATCATTTGCTGTAGTGGTGTTCTCAAATGCCATCACGTGAGCGTCTGGATCTCCAACTCCCGTGAAGGTAGAGTATTTCATCTTTGTTGTCGCGGTTGCCATTGCTTGTGGTGGTTGTTGTTGTTGTTGCTGACCTTGTCCTTGTGCTTGTGGTGGTGATGGTGGTGGTGTAGGAGGTGATATCACAACCTCCTCTTGCTCTTCTTCTTCTTCTTCTTGTTCTTCTCTAGATGATCCAACCGGAGATGTCTCTCGGCTTGGTCTTGGGCTTGTCTCCGGAGTGGGTGTAGGGCCTTGTCTCCTACGATACCTCTCCTCCCGGAATAACCTTTGTGCTTCTCTTCTCTCGGCTTCTTGTTGTCTCTCCTCAAGCAATTTCTGGTACTCGTACTGCGAACGGCGCATACACACCCCTCCTTTAGTGAAGTCGCCGAGCTGTCTTCGGCTACCGAGCTGTCTTCGGATTCTTCACTCCATCGGCAGAGCAGCAATGTGCATACTTTCCCGGGCAGTGCACCAGAAATGAAGCTCGAAAGGAAAACCCCAAGCCCCAACACTACTAGTCTAGAACCCAAGGATCTTTCCACTTGGAAAGTAGCACACACTGCTTTGCCAAAAGGTAGGATGGTTTGCATTGAATGGATGTGAGTATATAAACACAAGGAAGGGTTGCGACCCTTGAGTCGAGGATCAGTGATGTGTCCAAAGGAGGCATCCCTTGGAACCTTGTGTCAACAAAGTAAGGGATGTGACTTATGGATCACTGAGGTGGCGGAGACTCAGTGACCCTTGGTGGAGATTGATGAAGTGTCGAAGGGGTGCCACCTAAGGATGGTCTAAACCCAAGGTTTAGCCCTAACCCAAGGATTAGTACTAACCTTAAGCCCAAACTCACCACTTAGGCTCAACCTTAGCCCAAGCTAAGTATTTAGGCCATTTTTGGGGTGCGACACTTTCCAAGGACACTCTTGTCACAAAAGCAATTGTTCAATCCAATCTCCGGTATTACAAATTCCGGTTGTGGGGCAACATAGAGTATCCCTGCCAATGGTGGTTTCCAATGGGAGACTACAACCAGGACGATCCCAACCCTAAAACGCGAGAGTTGACCATCAGATACTTTGATGTGAAGAACGAGGGGACGTTAACGCTGGCACCTCAATGCAAGTTGATTGTTTTTGAGAGGACTTCCACTCGTCACTCAGAGCGTGAGGAATTTGATCTACATAATCTTCCACAAAAGAAGCAGTCAAATAGAAGGGGTTCTGATAAAAAAACTATCTAAACTCTCTAATCTGAGCTTAAAAGTTTTAAAGGCATTAAAGGTTGTTAAAAGGAATTAGAATAATCTTAGTAATAAATTCAACTTTAACTTGTTTGTCTGATTCAGAGTACGAAGTTTTCATGCGACAAATAACACAAGGACAAAACAAATATGTGTCTGCTAGGCTTCAAGCCAGAATGTAGAATTCTCACCACTTAATATCTGGACTGTATGGTTCCCTATTGCCAATCATACAAATAATGAAAGACAAGACATAGAAGAAACAACAATGTCCAATTCAGCCCATAAATGCTAGTAGCTCAAAACTCCCTCTTTCTAAACTGGTCTAATCATCATCCATGGGCTCTCTCTCGAAACTTCACGTTGTTCTTATCCCACTTCCAGCACAGGGACATGTCATTCCACTCGTCTATCTTGCCCGCAAGCTCGCGCTCCTTGGAGTCACTGTGACCATCATCAACGTTGATAGCATCCACGAAACCTTGCAGCAATCCTGGAAGAGCGAGGCCAATCCTGTGAATAATGGCCAGGACATTCGCCTCGAGTCCATCGAGGATCCACTTGCGGAGCTCTTGTCCCGGATCGATCGAGAAGCAGAGTCGTCTCGGAATTTTACCATCTCAGTGCTCCACATGATGCAAAAAAAAGGCTGGATTAGCTGGAGCGAGCTTTTGGCCGGGAAATGCTGCTTGGGCTGCCATCGAATTCCACGTTCCAAAGCTCCTGGAGATGGGAGACGTTCCTGTCAAAGGTAAAGCTTCGATGAATCTAGAAGTTTGTTCTAAGAAAACATGGAAGTTTTCAAGAATGTGATAGAGGGAGATGACAAGCTGATCTCTTACATCCCTGGAATGGAGCTAAGATCACAAGATATTCCACTCTTCATGCACGACGGAGAATTCCAGAAAGTCAGGGAAGAGCAGTCATTGCATCTCTCCAAGAGGATCACACGGGATTCTTGGTTTCTGATAAACTCTGTCCATGACATCGAGCTGCGAGTTTTTGAAGCGATGAGGGAAGGATTCGGGGCGAAGTTTGTGCCTGTTGGACCATTGTTTCCTCTCAAGGGAGAAGCGATCAATTCAACTGGATTGAAAGAGGTTAGCTTGAGAACTCCAGATGAATCTTGTCTTCCATGGCTAGAGCTCGGTTCTCTATGTTTTGTTTGGAAGCGTCTCCTTCATGACTGCCAAGCAATTCGAGGAGATCACACTGGGATTGGAGGCAAGCAAGGTTCCTTTCCTGATATGATTAAACTTTGTTTTTGGTAATACTTTAATTATAATATTATAGTATATGGACTATCCATTTAAGATTGAATTTGATCCATCCATTATTGTATATAAGTATTGGTTATAAAGTGATAATTTGTCTTGAAAAAGAAGGTTTTTTAGCAATGTTTTATTTAGTGTTTAGAATTGTCTTTTTGTTTTTATTCCTTCATTCTCTTTTAAATTTAGATTTGTGTTTGTACTGTTCTTCCTTTTCAACTTTTATTACATACTATACCATACTATTGTTGATTAAGAAGTGTGTTATTCAAAGCTATAAATGATATATCATTATTGTCACCTAACAACATTGTTTATGTGATTGTGTCCTCTTTATATCAAATTTTTTATGCTTATCACATACCAATTATATATAGCAATTTTTAATATGATTTTTATATAAGAGACTTTATCATTGTTTAACTATACTATATATGGTTTTCACCTTATACTCTATGATGGTTTACCATAGAATAACTATAGAGCAGAACTTTAACCCTCCACATGCCATGTACCACTTGCTATATGCTACATGCCACGTGCTTAAAGATAATGTAGCAGAACCCAAGTTTCAAGGCCTTAGGTCACTGAATGAAGGGCTGAAGCCAAACTATTAAACATGGAACCAAGGAGTGAAAGAAGTAAAGCATGGAACTACTCTTGAATATACAACCTAGTGAATGAAAGGGTAGGAGCATGGTGCGACTTAGAATAGTCTTAAAACTTTTAACATCTCTATAGCATACCTAAATTTGGGGTTAAATTCTAAGCTTGTTGTGCTATGAATCAAAGGTCCAGTATATTCTCAATCCTACAAATACGAGCTTCCCATATCCAGCATCTATATGCTAAATGGTGTCAAAAAATGTTTAGCATAATTTTGGCATACTAGTGGCTTAACATGAAGAGGAGAATATGCCAATAACTAGAGAAACATGGAGCTTGGGCTTTGTTATAAATATGATTTCTGGTATTGAAAGATATTTGTCAACTAGTCCTTACAGTTTACTGCCATGATGGCAAGAGGTCGATATTGTTAATTCCCTTTATTATCCCCTTTTATCCAAGTGTTAGTAAATTGGACTTAGCATTTGTATTTTGCCAGATGAGCATAAAGAATAAATTCTTAAGTGTTTATTTAGCCAAATATACTTGGCTCGGCTTGTTAGTTTTCTTTTTCTATGTCTTCCACTGGTTTGGCAAAAACCCTCATGTATTAAGTATAGTCCTTCAATATCGCTATATGATAGCTTATTGTGTTTACCAAACACTCTCGCTATCATGCCCTTTGTGTTAATCTCATTCTGGTCCCAAATGTTATTATATGAAGTATCTAGATTTACTCATTTGGCATATCTACAGAATATAGAGATTGTCTTGAACACAATGGTGTTCATCTTGTATCCAGATTTGCAATTTAAGGATATTTCATATTTAGAAAGTTTTGAACTTTTCAACTCCTGGCACTAAGGGAGGCTTGGGGTGAAAGTCCAAAACATGTGTTCCTCAAGGTGGGGGGGGGGGGGGGGGGGGTTATGGGGGTTCCAAATGTATAGTAGGGATAGTGATTTAAATGTATATCCGACCATCTGAGATATTAGTTTAGCTTCTGTTGGGTTGTCACTCCTTGTTCTGCATTTAATTTGAGTTTAAATCTAAACTCCATACTGCTCTAGTGGGTAGGGTACCACTAGTATACCAAAATTGTATCAGACACCTTTTAACACCATTTTGCATGTAAGTGCTAGATATGGGGTATTGGTGCTCGTGGGATTGTATTAGACCCTCGTTTTGTAGTGCAATAGGCTTGGAGTTCAACTCCAAATTCATGTATGCTACAGGCTTAAATCTAAGTTGGACATAGAACAAGAAGTAACACAGTCTAATAGAAACCAAACTAATGCCTCAGGTGGTTAACCATGCATTTCAACCATTATCTCTACTATACAGTTGGAACCCCCATCCCCCCCGCCCCCCCCTACTTGAGGAACACACACTTTATGCTTTCACCCTTAGTACTAAGAGTTGTGTGTGAAACTTACTAAATATGAATTGGCACTAGATCATGCATCAACATGCATGAACAATACTATAGTACTTTTTATATTCCATAGATATACTTCTTGAGTGGATTTAGATACTTACTATGAATAGCATATAGTACTAAAATGGAACTAACACA